AAAAAACAAAAAAAAAAAAAAAAAAAATAACAGATCTTTGATCGTACTGAATCTAATTTTGAAAAGTTTAATATCTATAGTGCTATTTCTATGTTATTGCTGGCATATTTTACAAGAGCGCTTTTCTATTCTAATATTCCTAGATTTTAATTGAATACAAAAAAAATATCCCTAAAGAGCAACTTAGCTCAGCTGTACCTTGAGGCAGGTGAGGTTATTTACCCCAACCTGGTGGTTTTACACAGCCATTCACTTTGAATTACTCCGAATTGACTTTATATTGACAGCAATAAATATTTCATAATTACTTTTCACTTCACAAATGAACTTTTCGATGATTCGCGCCTAGACACCAATGAATAATATTTACGTTGTCTCTTGTGGTTCAAGTGTTGTGCTCTCAACTGTATTTGTCTGATCCATAAATGTCAAAAACTTCAACAAGATCAGCGACATACTCGTATTTACACTTTGATTGTATTCACTTCATTATCAATACGATCGACGCGCCAACTTTTGTTGGCTTAAAAAATAATAATAAATAAATTTACACCACAATATTGACGCGATTATTTTATGTGAATTTGTTTTGAACATACATACATATAAATATGCACAAGTGTGTGGGTGTGTGTGTGTGTGTGCGTGCGAGTGCAAATAACGCGCGAAAAAGAAGAGTTGACAGCATTTGTTTACACACAGTGGCAAATACAATAACTAAATAGTAGAAATATCCACGGCATATTTACAATAACAAAATAAACATTGGTCAGCGTAAAAATCGAGCGGGAAAGGCATCGGAACCATAGTAGCATAACACACACATAAGCGTGCGCGCATTGTGTAAGTATGTGTGTGTTGGTGTGTATGTGTTTTGGTGGCTTGCTTATATGTTATTCTTGTTGTTGTTGAGTGTACTGTCCGCCACAGTTGATGACACATGACATGCGCAGCGCTTTGTTGTTGGCGCTCTGCTTTATGATTTATTTTTGCGCCTCGTGTTGTTGTTGTTGTGCGTTTGTTTCTGTATATAGGCTTACAAATGCCGCCGACATAAAAACGGTAGCGCTGACTAATAGCTGATAAGCTTGTGTGCGGCGCACGCTGTGAAATACGCAACAACAACAACAAGACATATATATGTATATTAGAAAAAACATTAAAAACGATAAAAAATAATAAAACAATATAATTTAAGATGTACTAAACGCACTGTGAACAGAAAGCACTGTAAAATCTTATGAACCCAAAAATCCCCATAAAGTCACAGTGATTGTTTATCTCTAGTTTGAGTTGTTTTTTGCATTTTTCATTTTTTTTTTTTTGTCGTGCAATTTAATTGAAATTTAGCTAATAAACTATACTCATTACTTAACTAAATATTGAAAAAGAAACATCATAAAAATTTAAACAAATGATATCGGCTAATTGTGATTACCGCGAAATTTATTAAGGTACAGTGGTATCAAACTGACGAATTTTTAAGCTTTTTAAAAATATTGGCTGCATTCTATTTTTAGGAAAAACTTAAAATATGATACCTTTTATGAAATGATTTGTTCAGAAATCAAAAAATATACAAATCAAGAAAAGAATTTAAAAAAAAATGTTTTGACTTTTTTCTTCTGTGCGAAAAAGCGACACCACTCTTGAGCTTAAATCTAAAAAAAAATAAAATTAATTGATGAAATTATTGTATAAAATTTTAAAGTTAAAAAAATGTGTATAAAGTGTGTTTTTTAGACATAAGGTTTTCAAAAACAACATAAAATGCATATAATTTAATTTAATGGCAAAGAATTCAGCTTTATTATAGAGGTTAGGGTTTGGCACTATCTTTTCAATTTGGTTTCGAGCAATTGACCGCAGCTGGCTCGAATAAATTTCTGGCCGAGAGGCCCAATCTTCGACCACTTTTTGCAGCAATTGGTGCCGTATGTCAGAAAAAATGCTCCGAACACTCTCTTCCATGGCATCGTTTTGTAATTTTTACATGTTTTTATTACTACTTTCATACATGCATACAAAAACATTTTTTTTACTTAATTTTACATTGATTTATTCATAATTTTTTGTATTGAAGTGAAGTCCTCGAAGGAACGTCTAGCGGTTTCGGGGAAGCACACAGCCTTTCTTAGTCATCTTAAATAAAAAATCAAAGATATTATTATTGCTTATAGTTTATTAATTGAACTGACAATTGATTTCAAAGAAATTCAACGACATTCGTCCTCAAGAACACAATCTTTTTTCTTTAGTTTTCTAGTTCGTATTAAACTAAAAGTCCAATCCAATGATACAAATTGACTAACAAATTAAGCACTCCAAACACACTGTGCATATTTACATACGTACATATCCATGTCAGTGTATATTTGATATTCTTGCGTGCGTTGCTACCGCCGCGGTAGAGGCTGTACCCATAAGTACTCGCTAATTTTTTGCGCGTCTACGCAGAACGGGTTACCAGCCAACAGTTGGCAGCAATTCTACACACCTATAGACACACATCACTTCTAACCGTTTAGGCTGCTGAGGCGTGTTGATTTTTATGAGTCAGTGCCGCGCCGCGAATGAACTGGAATCGAAACTGCCGCTTTGGGTTTTTTGCTTTTTTTTTGTTTTTGTGGTTTTTTGCAGGTTTTCTTCTTGTTCGCTCGCTGCATGAATATTAGCGACAGTTGTTAGCATTTGTTTATTGTATTATTTATAACCATATTTTATCTACATACATTATTCTATTATGTATTTTTTGCCATTTACTAGTGTCTTTTTAATTATGAAACCCTGTTGCCTTACCACTGTTTGGTTTGCTAATATTTTAGCATATGTTTGCATATATAATATAATTTAATATATTTATATATGTATATATGTATTTCTTTTTATTAAATTCACACACGCACACGCGCAATTTATCGCCGTTCTATTCTTCGCCCACAAATCATAAGCGCTTGGCACCGTGCGCCAAACACGCTTTTGTCTCGGATAATTGCTGGCAGCGCCACAAACTATCATACAAACGTACATACACACATGCTTATAAATACATATTCTTATGGATATGTAGATATATTATATATAATTAGTTATATTTTTTTGTTTTATCTGAAACACAGCCACTGCCCACGGTTGCCATTTTGCTTGGCCGCTTGGCTGCTTGCTTGCTTGGTGCTTGGCTTGCGCTGTCGGCTATCGCTCATTGTGGTCACTCACTGTGCCAGTTATCCAAATGACGTCAATACAGCGAAACAGCTGAATTCAAAATTTTTAGTATTTTGCGATTCTTTTTCATGCAGCTTTATATACTTTAACTGTTTGTAAGCGACTTGCTAAAATTTTTCTGGAAAAAATATTTTAAAAATTTTCTGTATAGAATTTGTAATATATACTTACATACCATACATATATTCATAATTGTTAAAAATAATTATTTTTAATTTATTTATGTATTATAAGTGTCTTTATGGTCTTTATGACAGCTTTTACTGGATTTATACTTGCTTTGGTTTTCCATTTTATAATAAACAGACTTACTACGAAACAACGTTTTCAAATCGTGCCCATCGTTCAATATTCGGTGAATGGGCCCAAAACGAGATGGTCGCTGATTCCGATTTTCACAAGAAAGTTTTGTTCAGCGATTAAGCTCGCTTTTGGTTCGTAATAAACAAATATGTCGCATTTGGAGTGATGATAATCGACAAGTCATTGTTGAGTCGCTGTTACATTCTTCAAAGATTCCAAGATCGTGCGATTTAACACTGCTGGACTATTTTTTGTGGTTTTAAGTAAAGTCGCTGCTTGTATAAGCAGATAAGCCCAAGACCATTGACGCCTTGAATGAGAATATTCGGTGCGTTATTGCTGACATATAGTTAATCCCTAATTGCTGCAAAAAGTGGTCGGAAATTGAGGCTCTCGAGCTCTAGATTTTAATCGACCTAGCCAAGGCTGTCACTTGCCGGAAATTTTGAAAACATTATGGCAAAGCCTTATCTTTATAACAAAGCTAAATTCTTGGCTTCTAAAAACGTGTTTCTGAAAATAAGTTAGAAATCAATCTCTCTGTGGTCCTTATTTATTGTCCTGAGTTATTCACTCCAATTAGTTATCATTATTCTATTTACGCCATTTCTGTGTTTTAACTCATATTTTTATCCCAATCTTAGTGTTCCTTTCATATGTGTATCACTCGATTTTCCAAGTCTTGTATCCAATTTTCTGAAAACCCAAACCCATTGAAGTCTCTCAAACAATGTTACCTCGATTTGACTTAGGCGCTCAATCTCCGATAGATAACGCACAAAACTACGAAGCACCTTAAACTAATAATTCAAAAAGAACCCCACCGAATGTACCTATAAATGGGAACTTCTAAATTACCATGACCTCAGTTGAGACCATTAACAACATATATTTCTACAACAAGCTACAGCCTACACATACAGTACTCACATTATTCTAGCGTTTACGTGCTAAATCTTCCATAAAAAAATCATAAAAACTTATAATTTTATTACCATTGTCGTCACACATGTGACATGCACTGTAAACAAGTGCTGTACTATTGCCGTCATGGCCGCTCGATGATACGCACAACTACAAGTGCAGATTTACGAGTCTATACATAACCCAAACAGCAACAAATCATTTCTCTGCTACTCGAGGTAATTACCAAACGAACGATCATTTCGACTCTCTGCCCATCATTTGGCCCAACATCAGTGAACGTAAATATTGCGCTCTCGCCAACTGTTTACCTGCGCGTTTCACTTCGGTACACATTCTCTCGCCCAACTGTCTGCGCTGTTAGCGCGCGCACATTCTTCGTGGCATTCCTCGTACACAACTAATCGGAAAAATATTCAAAATATTTCTGTCGTTAACAGTAATCCCAGCTAACATAGCGCGCTCCCGCTCTTTGATGCTCTTTATCGCTATGTGCTCATAGTCTGTTGTTACTCTCTGCTCGCATATTCTACATTCCAAGCATTGATGGGGAGCACAACAGCTGGCCGCAGTTGGTGTATGACGAATCCGCTATGCACTTACCGCCACTCATTGATCGGGTATGGCGAGTATCTCAAGAACGCAAGTCTCCGCTAAAGTCTACATTATTAATGAAAAAAAAATAGAAATAATAATAAAAACAACATCATTCGTTCAGTGTTTGTGTATGAGGAAGAGCGCAAAACCCGTTCGGCCACTCCTTCACACCGCAACACCTGCGCGCGCTCAGCCAACGCCACTCTAAAGGGCGCGCGCGTTGGAGCAACGTTACTCGGTGGACCGCAAACCATACCCCGCCGCCTTACTTTGTCTTGTCTTGCCGCCTTACCCGTACATATGTTTGCATTTTCTTATTTTCTCTTTATTTTTCTTATTCTTGCCTGGCCTGTTACAGATACCACCCCACTTGTTTGACTGCTTCCCGCGCGCGCCATTGCCACTAACAACGCGACGCGTTCTCAGCATTGCTCCACAGCGCTGTTTTGCTGTGATGCTTGTTTTTCGTCATTCGTCGCTCACTCTTGACTCTTTGTGCCATTTTGCTTGTGTGTGTGTGATTTTTCGGTCTATTGTCGTTGTCGTATCGTTGGAGCTGCTGGCCCTGTCTGGCTGACTGGCTCACTGGCTAGCTGCTGGTTCGTGTATGCTTTGGGCCCTAATCACCGCCGCTCGCTCACCGTCGCATTCAGTCTGTGAGTTTCTCTCGATTCTGCGCGTTGCGTACTCGGCTCAGTTCATTACGACGATATTTTTTGTTCGCTTGCGCTTTGCAGAGTTTATGATTTGATTTGTTGTTTAACTACAAAGTGCTCGGTTTTCCGTGAATTTGTGATTCTTCCGCCTTGCAAATTGTAGCGTTTTCGGTTATCGGTATATACTACACCGAATTAGAACGGACGCGTCGTGGTTCTTAATTCTCCGTTTGCCATAATTGAAAGGGAAAAGAAACGTGGAAATCGCGACCGCAGTGTACGCGCTTGAAAAATATATGAAAGCAAAATATTAAAAAAGCAAAAAAGGAAAAATTGATCGACACTCCCACAGTGCTTTTCCCCCATATTTTTGTCTTCGCTCGTACGCTCGTAAAAGGGAAATTGTCGTAAGTTCGTGCAGTTTTCAGTGTATATGAGTTCATATGTGATTTTTATTGTTGTTGTGCTACGTTATTATTAAAAGAAACAACTTGAAGAAAAAACGAATGAAGCAATCAAAATCCATTGATCTGGGTTACTAGCCGCACACACCTTAAGTCCAATTGCGCTTCAGTGCGTGGCGTCACGTCACGTCGCAGCATAGCGCAACAAACCAAACCCCGATTCCCATTCGAACCCATTGGAATAGTACGTAAAGCCAGAGCAAAAAGCAAAAACATTAAAAAAAATTGTATGCAAGCAACAACTACAAATAGTTCTTCGAACAGCGATCGCGAAACGCCAAAAAGTTTCTCGTATCTCTTCGTTCGTCTTTACAAATTTACATTTATACATAAGACACATACAAGGAGACATATAGTTTTAGAGCTCCATTGCATACGTGCGTGCGTACGTTGTTTCACCAGTTCTTCCCCCCTCTAACCTCCCCCAACCAACCTGCACACACATACATCCGTGCCTGCTACACACACCCATTTGCGCCTACTTCATAACCCCCTCCCATCCACCATCTAGCTGCTGGCACCAGGCATCGTCGCTAATTTTATCGTTGCCATCGGCACGGTTTGGCGGCGTCGTTGTCATCATCATCGTCGACGTCGTCGCTGATTCTAACCGAAGCAGACTCAGCCGACTGACGCAAACGGCGCTGCTTGCGTCAACTAACAACGAACTATCAGCGCCATCAGTAATCGCAGCCGCAACAGCGTCGCAACGTCACGACGTCGGTCGGCGAAAGAACTTTTTGTGCTGATCGGGTTCGGTTTGTGACTGGGACGGGTTCTTCAGTCGGCGACGTGCCAAAAAATAAAACAAAAAGCATTAATAAATGATGGTGTATGCATAAAAATAATGTGTGCTCATATGTACATACATACATACATATTTACATAAATGTTCTGGCATGTATGTTTGTCACTTGGTGTATGCGGATATATTATAACTACAGCATAGACACAGTCAAAATGTGAAAATTATTGCAATTGAGTGGAAATTAATTTTTTTAAGAATGGAAAAGCAAACAAAAATGTTTTTTTATAGAACAAACAAAATCAAAATCTTACAAGCATGTGAATTAAATATTTGAAAATGTTCCAGAAATAGAAAAAAATATTTAAAATTATAATTAAACTAGAATTAAAATAAAACAAAATAAAATAAAGTCAAATTAAAAATTAATATTAAAAATAAATTAAATTTAAAATTATAATTAAATTAAAATTAAAATTGGTATTAAAACTGAAACATCTCACTACTCTACTCATCTACAATACAACTTTAACTACAATACAACTTCAACTACAATACAACTTCAACTACAATTGCAACTACAACTACAAATAAATTTTAATTTGAAATAAAAACAGAATTGAAATTAAAATTAAAATTGATATTAGATTAAAATTAATATAATATTAAAATTAAAATAAAATAAAATAATTAAAAATAAATTGAAGATTATAATTAAAATCAAAACTAAAACCAAAATTTAATTAAAATTTAAATTTAAAATATAATTACAATTCAAATTATAATTAAAATTAAAATTGGTATTAAAACTAAAACTTTATATACAACTACAACTACAAATATACTTTAATTAAAATTAAAATTGATATTAAAATTAAAATTTAAAAATATGATTAAAATTAAATTGAAGATTATAGTTAAAATTAAAATTAAAAGTAAAAGTAAAACAAAAATTTAATCAAAATTAAAATTTTAATTTAAAATATAATTACAATTAAAATTAAAATTGGTATTAAAACTAAAACTTTATCTACAACTACAACTTCAAGTACAACTGCAATTTCAATTACAACTACAATTAAAATAAATTTAAATTAAAACTAAAATTTTAATTTAAACTAAAATCGAAATTAAAACTAAAAACAAATTTAAAAAAAAATTAAGATTAAATTTAAAATTAAAATTATTAACAAAATCAAAATTAAAATCTTATAAAATTATAAAAAAAACAATAACTACCCTTAAAAATATTTTTTTTATTTTTTTTTTAACTTTTGTATTGTTTTATTATTATTATTTAATTTTTTTTTTTTTTTTTGATTTCAAATAACTTTATTTAATTTTTTTAGTATTCTCCTATTTTTACTTCAGTGACTAACATTTTTGTACGTATTTTTTATTCTTTTTTATATTTTCATATTTTTTGTAATTCAGTCCCATTATGCATTATTATAGATTCATAAATAATTGAACAACATTTAATGGTAAGACTATCCGTAAAAAGCATCTGAGACAATTTAATTTATATACAATAATTTTTAATTAAATTACTTTTAATTAATTGGAAAAGTTAGCATAATTAAAATTTATAAAGTTTAATTTTCACATTTACAGCATATATCTGCGTTAAAATTTACCGAATACGGTAAATAAAATATTTAATTATAATAAATTTAACGACCAAACGATGTTGCCATATTGAAAGTTCGTATTAACAATTCGCAAATCTCTCCAAAAGTGCCAAGTGTGAAAAAGTGATTAAGTAAAATAAAAAAAATTAAAGTAATTCGAAAAACAGCTTCAAAAATTTCAAAAGTAGAAAGAAAAATATTTATTATAAAAAATCAAAAAGTGAATAAATTAAAACAGCAAAAATAATTAAAATAAAATTAATACACAAATTAGCAACGAATATCAAAAAACAAAAAAAAAAACAGCATTCAAAAAGTAAAAGTAAGAGGGTTGCTACAAAACTAGCCGCAAAAATAACAACAAAATAAAGGAAATAAAAAATATTCAGCACTCCTCGGCCGTCTTTCTACCTGTTCGCAAAGCACTTCGTTGCTGCGTTCGTTTGTGTATTTTTCTTCTGCTCCACGCTCCGTATAAACTGGCTGCATGAAAAACATAACCAGCTCCAGCACTTGTGGCAGTGGTCTGCTGCAATTGCAAAACAATCTCAGCAACTCGGCGACCAACACATCGACAATCGTCGGCGGCAGCGTTATCGACGACGAAGACGTCATCCTGCACGAATCAAAACAAAAAGGTTTGTTGTTTTCATTGCGAACGACTTGCTCGGCTCTTGCAACTTACTTACAAGTACTTCAGTCATGCCACAACTTCTATATGTAATGTTGAAAGTGTGTATGTGTGTGTAAGAATATATGGGTATAGATATGTATGTATGTGTCGATATGTATAAGTCAACATGTAGCAAGTGAATTGTATTGATTGACTGCCTGACAATCTGATTGTTTATTGATTCAACTGCTTGCTACAACAAAACGCCTAACAGGGCAAGACGACACTCTGCGTCCAGTCCACTTAGCTTTAATTTTCCATCGCTCTACTTCGTTCTAGGCTGCGCTGTCTGGCCATTTCTTCTCTCTATATATTGCCTTTGCTTGCACAGCCATTTATTCACTATTTTGCCTCTTGCCACTTGCCACTTACCTCTTTGTGTAATTAACCAAGTTCGCCTGTTTTTCACGTCTTCCATACGGTCACTCGTTGTCTGCCGATGAGCATCCGTCCTGCCTGCGCCTACTGCGCGTTTATTTCACATCCGTTTCACCTTCTCGCATTGATACCACAAATCAAGCCATTTTTGCCATACCGCCAGGGGTTTTCAACCACTTTAACATTGTGATAACATTGAGGTACTGATGACGTTCTGCGTGGATGTTTTGAAGTGTCTTCTAGTTTTAGTACTAGCTACACATCTATTATATTTTCTTGATTTCGTGAATCTCTGATCGAAAGCGTTGTCCATGTACCTCATTATTACTTTACAGAATTTTAATGTCACCCTAAATGTAGGCAATGATTTGGGAGAAATTAATTTTGCTTATTGCTTATTTGTCGGTAACGCCGGTGTCAGACCACTATTGGATATAGCTGCCATACAAACTGAGCAATCGAAATAAACATTAGAGTTTATTTATACACTATTATGCACCTGTGAAGGGTATTATAGCTTCAGGGCAACCAAGGTAAATGTTTTTTAAACTTTTTTTTAATTTTTCTCCATTTTTTATCCCTCCCCTTAAATACAAAATTTTCCGCGAAACTAATGATCTTCTCAATCATGTCGCTTAGTCATTCTAATAGCTACCTACAATTACCATTTCACAACTAACAACTACCTAGACTTTATCGCGTTTGGCAAAAGCGCTTAACATTAATCTCCCAGCAGCAGCTAATCATTCTCAGCAATCCACTTTTGTGGATTTTTGCCTTCGAGCCAATACGACTGCCAACACTTCGAGTGTCGTTTTTGTGCGCTTCCTCCTTTCTTTTTCTCTTTCTAGTTTTAACTAACAGTTTTTTCACAGATTTTTATCAGCATTCGAATTGAATGAATTAATAAGTGCAGAATCGTAATGTGGCGGTGGCCGGTTTAAGATAGCTATATGTGTAATGTCTTGCTTTAAAAATATGTCTGTAAACAAGCCGCTGTGTTCGTCATGGTACCCTTCTGTTGAGCGCACACATTTTCCCGTATTTATATGCCAAACAGGTAAACGCGCATGCGCGTGTTTTTACGCACTTAACACAATGTGCGTTTAATAAGACGCCGTGGCAGACATACAAATGTACATATATATGCATATAAAACATGCAGTTAAGCAAATGTATATACATATGCGTTTTTTATGCTGATCGCACGTCAGGTTGTTGGGTTATGTTTTGACTAACTCGTTTGCGTTTATTTTTTTTTTGTGGCGACCACTTTGTTATCTCGTTTGTATTTATTAAGTTTGTATGTTTTTTTCCTCATGCAACATGTTGTTGCTGCTTTAAGCCGTTGTGCTTCGGTTCGCGACTCCCCTCTGTCGCTAGCTGGGCTTTTCTTGTTGCCTCTTTTTGAGGCCTGTTTACCTTCTTTTGGCGCTTACACGCATATAACTCCAGATTAGCTGCAGTTCCAACTATGCGTGCAGTTTTCAGCTCAAACCCCTATGCTTTTTGGGTAAACAGTTTTTCATACCCTGAACAGGTGGCTTGTACGACATTTGTAACACCCTGAGTCGATTTAGCCATGACCGTTCGTCTATCTGTAAATTTGCAAACTAGTACCACAGTTTTTGAGATATAGATCTGATATGATGCACACGCACTTTTCTCTTCAAGACGTTGCTCATTTGTCGGGACCACCGATATCGGACCACTAGAGCATACAGCTGCCATACAAAGTGAACGATCACAATTAAGTTCTTGTATGAAAAACCTCTTTATTTGACAAGATATTTTGCCGAAATTTAGCATGGATTATTTTCCAGAGTCCAGAGTAAAGAAATTTTCACAAACTTTATTGGTATCAAAAATGCACCTGTGAAGGGTATTATAGCTTCCGTGCTACCGAAATTAACGTTTTTTCTTGTTTTTTTTTTTGTTAAATTAATTTTTTTGTTTAATTTATTGAATTTTATGAAAAAAGCACAATCATATTCATTAATTTCTCATATGATTTAACTTTACCTTTGTTCCATTTTCTATTTGAGTTTTCTCGTTCGTCGTCGCTAGAGCGCGAGCTCGTAATAGCGACGTTGTCAAGAAGTTGCTCCAACCAGTTTAGGTCTTCTTGTTTGCGCATTGCTGCTTGTCGTTTGTGGTCTTTTGCTTTGTTGTAGTTTTTTTATTTTTTTTTTTTTTTGGTTTCGCGTTTTGTACACTTCTTGTTTTCAACGACAGCCTTTGTTGTTGTTGTTCTTATGAGTTTTTGTTATTGTTGTTATTATGAAAGTTGTTGTTGTTATTATTATTGCTGTTCTTGTTGTTGTTGCTGTTACTTCCATAACTGCTTGCGCTTACTGACTTCATAGGCAGTCGCAAAGCAAGCACACCTTCGTCGCCACATGAGCTTAATTCTGTATATGCATATATAATAATATGTATGTGTATATACATATATAATAAATATGTATGTGTTTTTGTTGTGGTTTGTCGCTCAGCGCTTAATATTTTGTATTTTTACTCGCTTACTTAACATATTCGTTCGTCGTTGTTTGACTGGTTTTCAGCTGGCAGCCTCTTGGTGCCTCAGACTTCACTCTGCAACTAAATATACGCACATACATACATACATACATATATACACACGCATACTCACATAAATACATAAATACAAATACAATTACTTTCTGCCCATTTGTGTGTGATTTCTTCAGTTCGAGCGCCATCGAAAAGGGTTTCAGCTTGATTAAGCCTCTCCGCTTGTCCAGTTGCATTTACATAAAGTTTTCATTCTTTATTTTATCTCTCTGTTCAATTCATTAGTACTTTTTTCAAGTTTTTTTTTCGAATTTGTGTCATATGTTTCGTTGTAATTGTTATACCATTATCTTTGCTTTCTTTCATCTCGCAATTGGCTTTTAATTTCCATGCTTCTTATTATTCTTCATTTGCCCAGCAGGTCTCGTTGTGTCTACCTGATTTCGCAATGCACTTGTTGCTGAATCTTAATTCCAGATTTAAATGTCATCACTTACTTGTTTAACCCATTTTCGTACTGCCACAAGGTGTTAATGTGCGCTCCTTTCACTTGTATCTGGTTTGGGTTCCTCCTGAGAATTGTTTCAGTGTTGTTGCTTTTCGTGCCTTTTTCTTTCGCAAAATTTGCTGTTTTTTAATTTTTTGCTTTCTCTTTTCGGTTTCCTGTTAATCTTTTTAATTTAAATATGTGTGTTATATGCTGTTAACGTTATTGATATTTAGCTTTTGTTGTATCGATCTCGTTTGAAATGATCGCTTTTGATTTAATTATCAAAATGGCTTTAATTTTTCATCAAACTCTTTTTAGCCTCAAGACAACAGAGAACTTTAACTCAACAATAGTGTCCAATCACCAATGTCTACTTTTATAATTTTTTGAGCTTTCTTAAGATTTATTTAGCAGAGTTCTTATGTTCTCACTAGTGACCAGATCAAGATCACCGATCGTCTGGAATTTATGTGCAAGCTTTTCTTTTACTTTATACATATTCTTCTATTTGAAATCCTCGTTCACTTTCTTCTGCTTTTTGTTTTCTTTCTTAAATTTCCGTGAATAACGTTTCTTTCGTTTCTGAATTCCTAACTGGAACTTTCTAATGCTCGATCACTGACAAAAATATTATTCCTTACGAATACCCTCGTCTACCGTTTATTTCTTTAAATATAGTTAGCAGTCTGAAGGTAAGATTTGATCGAGTATTGTTGTCGTGCCCGCTTAAAGGGTGCAATTAAATATTGATATGATAATTCAGTTCTTACTCATCACAATTTATATGTCCATTAGTTTGGAGATCCCCACTGGCATTATACTAACAAAAATCTTTCCCGTCACCTCTATGGCTTAGCAGTGAATTTTTTAAGCTACAGGACTACTATTTGGCATAGTCTTGGAAAATTTTTAAGATCACTTTCTCGAGAGATCTTGCGCAAAAACTTACTTTCGAAAATTCGGCAAGGGTTATTGTCTAAAACAATAATGCAATATCCGAAGAAATTGTTCAGATCGGACTATTATAGCATGAAGCTGTCACACAAATTGAACAATCAGAATCAAGTTCTCGTAAGGAATATTTTGTAGTTGTGAAGGTTATAATAGCTTAGGAGCAACCGAATGTTAAAGTTTTTTATTTATATATATTTTTATATATTTTTTATGAATTTTTTATTTATTTTTTTATTATTTTTGTTTTTTACTTTAATTAATTTCTTATTTATTCAATTTTTGTTTTTTATTCCTTACTAATTATTGCTCGTTTTTTTACAACTCTCCACATACTCAATTGTTTTTACTGCACTCCGTGTAAAACTTGAGTTCTCGGTTAACTAAATTTTCTCAAACCTAGCGCGGTTTTTTATATAGACAGACGATCCACTTATAAAGACAAGTTTATTGGTTTGCGTGCGTATTCACCTTACCTGACATTTGTTTGCAATTTTGTTGTTAACATTTGCTTTGAAGTTCTTACCTTTGTTTTGATCAATTATGTCCATATTAAGATTTTTCTATTGTCACTTTTCCTTTTTACTTGTTTTTCACCCGCCGTTCATGAA